CAGGAGCACCTTAGTCCTCAAGCTGACATCTTTGCTCTTCAACACTTTAAAAACGTCTTGTGCATCAGATTTGCCTAATGCAATACGTCGCCTGATTTCTTTTTTTTTTTTTGCAATTTTTAAAATATACCATTTTATTGCTTAGATGGTTTGATACAGAACAGCTTTTCTTTTCATTTTGAATTTGGAAGTACTATACAACTGAACACAAAGAGGAACAGCACCTGATTTCTTGACTGCTGCTTCCTTGAGTGTTGATAGTTGATCCAAGAAGAATGAAGTCTAAACACATGGAGTTCCGGTAAGGTGCTATAGGTTAATGTGCTACAATGTGAAGTCATTTGAATCACAAGTTGGTTCAAGCTCACCAGATGTTCCTCAGAAACCCTATACAGAGGCACTATGGGTCGGAACCAACTTGACAGCACTTAACAACAACAATATATACATACACTCTTATATATATATATATATCCTACAAATATATGAATTTTCAAGAGAATATTGTTACATGGATATTTATTTTTCCTGAAAACACCACTATGAATGTGGTTGAGTACTTGTTAAGTACTGTTGAGTCAGTTCTGATTCATAGCAACCCTGTATAGGGTTTCCATGGAGTAGCTGGTGGGTTTGAACCACCAACTTTGTGGTTAGCAGTTCAGTGCTGATTCTACAGCACCACAGCAGGAGTATGTTGCTGTTAAGTGCTGTTGAGTTAGTGCTGACTCACAGTGACCCTGTACAGGGTTTCCGAAGAGCAGCTGGTGAGTTTGAACTGCGAACCTTTAGGTTCAAACTGACCTTGCAATCCACTGCTTATCCTATAGTGCCACACCACAACACACTAGGAGCATACAGCAGGCAACATGATGAAAAATTATTCTTAGAAATTATTCAACATCTCAAGACAAAGAGTTGCTGGGCCTGGGGGCTCAGGACCACAGTCTCAGGTGACACCATGGGCTATTGGCATAACATAGTCCGCAAAGACGTGTTCTACATACTTCTTTGGTGAGTAACGCCTGACATCTTAAAAGCTCATTAACAAGACTTCTTGTGTGGCACTGTGGGCTAATGTGCGGGACTGCAAAGTTGGTTTAAACCACAAGGTTGATGGTTCAAGCTCATCAGTAGCTCCACGGAAACCCTATACAAGGATGCTATGGGTTGTAACTGACTTGACAACAATTAACAACAACAACAAGATGCAACTATTGGTCTCTCCATGTGCATAAGAAATCAGAGTGATGAGAATTGAAGAAGCTTGAAATCAATTAGTCCAATGGGCTAATGGAACATGTGAATAAACATCAGTCTCCATGACTCTGAGACCAGAAGACCTAGATGGTGCCTGGCTACCACTACCAACTGCTTTAAAAGGGATCATATTAGAAGGTTCTGGATAGAGCGGTTTTGTGAAACAAAACTCAAAATTATTTTTAAAAAACCCACGGGTTTTCTGGCCAAAAAAGACTGCAGGAAACTGAGATTATGACCCTCAACAACCCTCAGGTCTGGAAAGGAACTCACCCTCGTGGCCCAATTTTCAGCCAAGCAGTAAATATAGGGGGAACAACATATGCTTGTCATGGAATAGTCAATCATTCGAAATCAAAAGGGGAACATTTATCTAAGGACAAAGTTGAAAAGGGATGGGAAGATGGGTGGAAAGGAAACAGAAACCACAGGGAGGAAGCAGGATAACTGTTGTTGCAGGGAGGGGATTGCAATAATTGAGATGAAACAAAGTGTATGATTTGTTGAATGTAAAACTGATGATCTGTTCTGTAAATAAACCATCACTCAATTCACAATAAAAATAAAATAAAAAAAAAGACCATTGGTATGAACATGGTGGAATTAATTCTTTACTTGTAAGAGTTTATGTTTTATTTAGTTTCCTTTAAGACATACAACAAAAACAAAAAAACTGACATTAGATTTTATTTATACTGACCAATATAAAATAAAGCAGTACTAGATGGCTAATCCCCATAACCAAAACCCCTATATTGTTTGCTTGCACAAAGAAAACATTGAAAATTGTTTTAGGACAATGAAAAGTAAAAGGTCCCCTTCCACCACTCACATATACCAGGGATTTGAAGGTTGGGTGATGAGATAAGGAAACATACTCACAGAGCTAGGAAGAAATGAATTCGTTGGTACTGCCAAGAGAAGAGGCCAGCCCGGCTAAAATATGCAATTACCATGGAGAGGAGATACTAATAAAAAAAAGAAAAATAGAGGAGTGGTCAGATCCTTAGGAGAACTGTGTGTTGGATGAGTGTGCTTACTAGTGGGCAGTGGGAGCAGCAGGGATATTATAGGAGCATCAGTTCCAAAATTATAGGACACAAAGGGGCGGGAAGTCACAATGCTGTAAGATAACATGACACTGTTGAGCATTGTGCTCAAGATGGTTGAGGTTGTGAGGGGCTTTGTCTTGAGCAAAAAGTTGTTTCCAAAGGTCTGGGAATGAAGGTGGGTCAAAATACAGGACCTAGTGCTAAAAATCCTAAAGGACCTTGGCTGCACTTGAAGGAAGCAACAGGAACCTAAATGGAGGTGTTGCCAGGTACTGAAACAACTAGAAATTTGCTGAGACTCCAAGGAAATTAATAAAGATTGGGAAAAAGAGAAGTAGCATTCAAAAAGCACCATACTAGAGATGTGAACAGTAGTGGAGTTTGGTGGAGACTGTTACCTTGTCAGATACCCTCAGTGTTTTGTCCCAAGCCAAGAATCTTTGAATGACCGGATCCGCTGTGAGAAAAACTATATGTTAGGTTAACATTTGGAACAGGGTGATCCTGAAGTAATCCAGAGTAACATGACAGATTTCTCCCACCAAACCCTTCTTGGAGAACTTCCAGGGCTATAACTAAAGGTTAGCATGAGGGGAGAAGGAAAGACCATTTACTAAGATAGTGAATCTCATTTAGGGTCTCACATAAGGAATGAACATATGTGGGCTACATTTCTATTAGTTTCTGCATCACTAAGACTTTGAAACAAATTATTATGCACGAATGCATTCATTCATAAATAAAATTTAAATTCACATTTTTGTGCTCATCTGATATATTATAGAAGTGGTGTACTGGTTCACCCACTGTACAGATAAAAACATTTGGATTCAAATATATAAAAAAGAGAATATTAGTGGAGGCCACAAGCAAACCCAAGCTTTCTCATTACATTATATTATCCTGTGTAATTTTTCCAAATATTCCTGAAACTTTGCAGTAACAGGAAGCTAAACACCGAAAATAGAATCCTATACCTTACATGTCAGTATAGATACTGGGAATGCCTTCATTTTAGGGGGAAAAAATGTAGGGTGATGTCTGGCCTTCTTCCTACCCAGCAGTCTGTTGAAGACCTCATGGTGTTCAGGTTCCACAGCTGACTCCCACTGTCTTTTCCCCTGAACTGGGAGATCACTCAAGTTCTCCACAGCCCAGCTGTTCTTAGGCTCTGAGGGTATCTCCTTCATGAAAGTGACTGTCCAATTCCTCTTCTGGTCACAAGTCACAGGCAAGGGGCTGGAATGTATCCAGGGAACTGAATAAAGAAAGAAGAGTACAATTTAAAGGCTTTTTCTTTGGGATTAGGCATGTTATTACCCACTTAAACCGGCTTAAACCCTCTCATTATCCTTCCAAAATCTGGGCCTTGCTCTTCTCTTTTCATTGTTCCTTTTTTTCATCTCTTTTCCCACTGTCTTGATAATATAGTTCTTGTGTGGTACTGTGGGATAAGCACTGGACTGCAAACTGAAAGGTGAGAGGTTCAAATCTACCATCACTCCCTGGGAACCCTCCCTATACAGGGTTGCTATAAATCAGGACCTACTGTTTCTCATGATTAATTTCTACCACAGCGTGAGTGTGGGGGGAAGACCTTTTACATGATTCCTCTTTAAATCTTAACTTGTCCCCTTGAATCTTAACTCCTCATCCTCCTTTCCTTACTATTCAGACTCTCCTTTACTCTAGTTCCTCCTCCTCTTCACCTCTTGAATTTCTTCTTCCCATAGCCCTGGTTCCTAAATCTCTCCTCATTCACACAACGACACAGGCAGTGTTTCCTAAATTCCCTGCTTCTTTCTTTTTACTATGTAATCCACCAAAGAATCTTCACAATCCATTCTCCTCACCTAAAGATCCTGGACTTTCTTCCTTCACCACCACTTCCTTGGGACACTCTGTGGAGTTAGGTTGGAGTTTCTCATTGACTGGACTAATGGAAGACATTCAGCCATGACTTCTCCTAGACTGTTCGTTCCTTCCACAAAGTCTAGCACTGCTCATACTTACGTCTCTTATTGGTCCAAACTCTGATTCTGGATTATGGCTGTGACTAAACTCATGCAATCTATTCCAGTTTGGGGAAAATGAGGGGTAAGAAAGAGTCTAAGAAGAAACTCTTGTCCATATCTGCTGCTTAGCACACACTGAGTTTCAATCTTCCAGTCAGGAGCACTGAAACCTGCCGATGTCATCACTGATTCCAACCCATCAGGTCAGTTTTAAGGAAAACATGAGCAACTGCCAGAGTGATAAACATTCTTCTTTTGGAGCTTAGTACGTATCAAACAATTTCTCATGTTGTTGACTTGATCTCTTCCCAATTTCCATGACTACCCTCAATTATCTCACAGTCAATTTTTACTTTTGCCTCACAGAAACCACATTATCTCTATTCAAAACTTGAAATTTTCATCTCCTTTTCATCCTCATTTCAGAACTCTGACTGGTGAAAGGGAATGGTACCAATAAGTAAATTTAGGGTAAGAATTGATAAGAACTTAGAGTGAGATTAATATTGAAATGACCTTTTGTTGTTGTTTAGGTGTCCATGAGTCAGTTCCAGCTCATAGCATGTATTACAGAGCATAACACTGTCTGGTCCTTTATCATCTTCACAATTGTTGCCATGACCGAGCCCATTGTTGTGGGCACTATGCCAATCCATTTATTTTGAGTGCCTTCCAGTATAAGGAGGGTATCCTCCATTACTATATCAGATAATGTCCTATTGTTATTCAAAGGTTTTCAGTGGCTAATTTTTCACAAGTGGCCCACCTGCTCCTTCTTCCTAGTTTATCTCAGTTTGGAAGCTCTGCTGAAACCTGCCCACTATTGGTGACCCTGTTAGCACCCGAAATATCAATGGCACAGCTTCCCACATCACAGCAACATGCAATCCACCACAGTACAATAAACAGACAAGTGGTAGTATAAAATACCCTAGGCACACTAACTTATTACATGACAGACACAGTACAAACAGTTTTCAAATGTACTCTGATCACCATTTGCTGAGATGTGCTAAGTACAGGGACCTTTCTTGGTGTGAAGAACTATACACAATCACCAGCCTCAGGTATATTAGAAGATTAAGGAAAAGCTCTTTTAGAAGTTAATGTGCTCAAATATTTAAACTAGGATATAAATTATCAGTCAACGCTTATCTGAAAGTTTGTCATACTGGGTGGCTTATCTTTTTCTGTGATGCTGGAGACTATGGACCCAAATATCAGTAGGGTCACCCATGGTGGAAAGGTTTTAGCAGAGCTTCCATACTGAGACAGACTATACTTCCAAGAATTAGCCACTGAAAATTTTATGGATTGCAACAGAACATTGTTCGACTTGCTCCCTTTGTACACATCATAAGGAAGGCTCACTCACTGGAGAATACATCATGTTTGATGAACCAGAGAGTCAGTCAGAGCAATTGTTAATGAGATGCCCCAGCACAACAGCTGCAGCAATAAGTTCAAGTAAGCTGCCAGTCATGAGGATGACACAGGAATGGCACTATTTCGTTTTACTATACATAAGCTCACCATGAGTTGGCCTCTATCCATCTATTTACCTATCTATCTATAAAATACTAAGGAGTATGTAGATCATTTAACATCTGTTCCCCAATTCTGGTAATGCCAATATGTACATCAACTTTTCTGAGTATGTAGCCTTTTCACTTGAATTTCACTATCATTTATATGTAATTCAGATACAATGTCAAACATGCAAAAATACAAAAAAAGGAAAAAAAATCATCTCTATCTCAAGACAAAATATGATTTGAAGATTGAGGAAATTACAAGTCATATTGTATCACAGTATCCAAGCAAGGCATATAACAAACTTCCTAAAACGTATCTCTTTAGCAATGTTAAACACATTATGCCTATTAAAATGGTATCTGAGGGCATGTTTTTGATTCTTTGTTTACACTTTGATAAGAAGTATCTCTGTCATTTTTTGGAATGTCAAAATTTTACATTTTTCACAATTAAGTATTTCCAAGTCCAATAAATATGAATAAACAGAAATAATTATATCCAATACACATTGACCATTCTAATCACCAGTAATAATCAACACATCTTGATTGCATGTTTGGTTAATTTCAGATTGAAGAAGTTGGTAGAATTCTTCTATTTCATCCTCACTGGCTTTAGTGGTTGATGCATAAATTTGAATGATAGTGGTATTAACTGGGCTTCCCTCTAGGCTCATGGATATTATCCTATCACTTATAGCACTGTACCTCATGACTGATCTGCATATGTTCTTTTGACGATGAATGCAACACCATTCCTCTGCAATTTGTCATTTCTGGCATAGTAAACCATGTGGTTGTCAGATTCAAAATGGCCAATACTAGTCCATTTCAGCTCACTAATGCCTAAGATATCGATGTTTATGCATTCCATTTCACTTTTGACAACTTCCAATTTTCCCAGATTCATACGTCGTACATTCTATGTTCCGATTTTCAATGGATGTTTACAGCTGTTTCTCTTCATTTTGAGTTGTGCCCCATCAGCAAATGAAGGTCCCACAGGCTTTTCTCCTACAGGCTTTACTCCATTTGCATCATCACATTCAACTCCACTTTGAGGAAGCAGCTCTTCCCCAGTCACATTCCAGCCTGAGGGACTCATTTACTGGCACTATTATCTGACAATGTTTCTCTGCTATTCATAAGGTTTTCAGTCACTAAATATTTTGAAGTAGTTCATCACTCCTTCTTCCTAGTCTGTCTTCGTCTGGAAGCTCATCTGAAACCTGTCCACCATGGGTGGTATTTAAAATACCAGTGACATAGCTTTCAGAATCACAGCAACTCACAAGCCACCACAGTACGACAAACTGACAGATGAGTGGTTGTGAAAGTAAATAGGACTTAAAACATTTACTGATGAAGATCAAAGACCATAGCCTTTGGTATAGATTACATCTCAATGTAAAGACAACAAAAATCCTCACTGCTGGACCAATAAACAACATTCTTATCAAATGAAGAAAAGATTGAAGTTTTCAAGGACTTCATTCTGCTTGGATCAACTATCAACACTCACGGGAGCAGCAGTCAAGGAATCAAACGATGTATTGTATTAGGCAACTCTGCTGCACAAGACCTTTTTAAAGCGTTGAAGAGCAAAGATGTCAACTTGAGGACTAAGGTGCGCCTGAACCAAGCCATGGTATTTTCAATAACCTCATATGCATGCTAAAGCTGGACAGTGAATAAGGAAGACGGTACAAGAATTGATGCTTTTGAGTTATGGTGTTGGAGGAGAATATTCAAAGTGACACAGGTTGCCAAAAGAACCAATAGACCCATTTTGGAAGAAGTGCAGCTGGAGTGCTCCTTGGAGGTCAAGATGGCCAAACTTTGTCTCTCATACTTCGGACATATTGTCAGGAGGGACCAGTTGCTAGAGAAGAATATCATGTTTGGTAAGGTGGAGGGTCAGAGAAAGAGAGGAAGACCCCCAATGAGATGGATTGGCTAAATGACAGCATCAGTGGACTGAAGCGTGGCAACAGTAATGAGGTTGGCCCAGGATCGGGCAGTGTTTCATTCTGCTCTGCATAAGGTCGCTATGAGTCGGTACCAATTTGATGGCACCTAACAACAACAACACATTGACTATGTTCCTATTTTTAATGCAATAAGCAACTCAGAGAATTGGATGAAGTCTCAGGCACAATCTGAATAAACTTTGGCTCCCCTACTCCAAATGAACTCAGGCTCTAATATGATACTGCCACTGATGGGGATTCTGTGTTCCATAAAGAGGCATGTCTACTGTTGTAAATGGCTAATGGTTAGGAAGATCTGAACATTTTGAGTATGAACCTTTTGGTTCAGGTTCATTTCAGAAGCAATGTACTACTGGTAGGGATTAGAAGCTACAGCATTCCAGATAGTATCATATATCTACCCTTAAGTTCATCACTTGGCTTTCCCTCTAAACTTCCGAATGTTTTCTTCATGATTACTTCCATTATTTGGTAATCATCACAGACAAGAGATGAATCAAATGAATATTTTTCTCTCTTAAACAATGATTTACTCCTGAACTACAACCCATCTTTGAGTATTAATGAAAGAGCAATGGGCGCTTTCAAAAACCCTAAGACCTATGGAAATGTCATCCATGTATGAACCATGAATGGGACCTCACTCTACGAATTTATACTCTTTTCATTGCTAAAATCCAGGAACAATAGCACCCTATCTACTTGCTCTAGATGTCAATGAGTAAGCACTGAAGAGTAGGTATTGTTATTTTTGTTTCAAGGATATACAAGGGGGCTTCAACATGTTTGTAGAATAATTCTATTATTCTTCAATTCTATTCCATGAATTTTTTGAAGCCCCCTCATACGTTACAGTATTGGAAAGAATGGAAAGATGAAATAAACAGGATGTTCATCCTCATAATAAAAATCCTTGATTGAGTAGTTACTATATTCTAAACACGTGTTTGACATAGATTAACTCCAATTAACACAACTCTAAGAACTGTGCTAGTATGAACTCCACTTTACAGATGAGAAAACCATAACAAAGGAGGAGGTTAAGTAATTTTTCCAAGGCCAGTGCTAAAAAGAAGTTGAGTTAGCATTCCAGCATAAGCAGTCACATTAAAAAGACTTTGCATCTAAACACTGTATTAAAGATTCTTGTCTAAGAATGTCCTAGTGGAATTCACAGACAAAAATGTTAGAGGTAAAAAATATAGTTTACAAAATAGAAAGACTACTTCTTATAGTAGTATCCAGGACATATCATAAAGAGGCTGGCATCTGAGATGGTTTGGAGTCAGTAAATAACCTTAGAACTAGGGCTTATTGTTGTTGTTAAATGTCATCAAATTGATTCTGACTCACAGTAACCCTGTAGAGAGCTTCCAAGGAGTGACTGGTGGGTTTGAAATGCCAAATCG